AAGCAACCTCAAATGTTTGGCAGGTAATTTACTTTTAATATTTGGTCAAAAACCATTCTCCGGAACACTGACATTTTCCTGGGTCCTGCCAATACAATTGGCACAGCAATTTACAATTGCACCAACCCCATATATCTCTGACTCGCCTCCAATCTGTGGGAACAAATAGTTTTCATTTTTCTTATGAAACACATGATGTTGAAAGTTGTTATCTACTACTCCCTGGCAAGGAAAGTGGGCTCCTATTCTTGCATTAGCAGGCCGACCTCCAGGACCCCTGTAATGCCATTTAAAACAATATCATATCATTATATTTGGGGACCCTTTAAGGGAGGTATGTTTCAGTCCGAGGAAGTTGTGTGGTGGCAGCACGGGGACTTCTGCAATTTTTGGTAATGAGTAACTCATTATTATTCCCCAATGTCCCTTTCTCCTGGAATCTTTTTTCTGAGGTTGATTAGTAAACTGTGGTTTCCCAGCCTCTAGGATTTCCACCAGCAGCATGACTAAGCAAAGCGGGAGAAGCAGAGCCGTCGCCTTCCCAGGCTTGCCGTGCAGCCTGAGGTCATCGGTCTCCTTGACCATGTCAGAAGGTAGACCTTTACGGCCGGTCCCCGACAGTGTACCTTGTCATGGGGTCACACATTGGACAGTACCCTCCAAGGTTTGGGTCAGACCACATGTGCTGGGGTCTCAGGGCCTTTGCACACACATGCTGTGCTCGCTGCCTGGGAAGCTGCTCTGGTCAGGTCTTCACTGCTAGGCTGAGCTAACTCCTCCTCCGAGCTCTCTCCTCTGACTCCCAGAACCAAAAGGCAGCCCCCCAACCACCCTGCCACCATCCTAGCTTCACTGTTCTGTTTCAGTGGCTCCTGGCCCTGTCATCATCTGATGTCACCTTACTACTGTCCCTCCAGCCTGAGACCCTGAGGGCAGGACTCCATATCAAACCCTGCTCACAGCTGCATCCCCAGCCCCGAGCCCAGAACTGGGCACAGAGCAGATGCTCAGTAAGTATATACTCCAAAAACGTTCTTAGCTGTGTGGAGGCCTGGTGTCCATGTCCTGGCAGCCTTGATGTTGTTAATAAAGACGACAGGCCTGGGTTTAATTTGTTTATTGATTTCCACTGATAAATCCAGAAAGTATTCAAGACAGGGGGACTTCAGCATCACCCGCATGGGCAAGAGCATATGCAGTACAGCACGGTCTCTGAATCCTGGGAGGGAATATGTCTGCAGGTGTGACCCACAGAGCTCCCGTCCCCAGCAGAACAGGGTGGGAGCCCCAGGGCCCCAGCCCTGTGCTGGATGAGGTCGGGAGCAACAGCCACTTCCGAGGCCCGACAGAGGTGGACTACTTCCACACAGTTTGTGAAACAGGGGTCAGGCTCCCCTTCATCAAGAGACCGAGGGTCTGCCCCCTTGGCCGGCTCCCCGAGTGGGTCACAGACCATCACCACTCTGGCTGGTCTGGAAGGGTTTCACCAGAGCAGGTCATGAAGTGACCAGGGCTGGGGCAGCCGGCCAGGGCAGCCTCTGTGAGCACTCTGTCTCCCGAATGGCCTGGGAGTTGGGCATACACGTCAGAAGACCAGCGTCTGCCTTGGAACTAGGCTCACAGGGTTACTCCAGAGACAGGGAGGGGCAGCAGGCCGAGCAGAAGAGAAGGGGGCCACGAAATGTCACACAAAGACCAGCTAGGCCTAGGGCCCACCTCCAGAAAGCTCTCAAGTGAGCGGGAGGCTAAGATGACCGATAGCGCTGCCCCGGCCCGAGGTCAGTCCCGCAGAAGGGTCAAAAAACAGGTGCCTTTTCCAAGGAGATCCTGGTCAGAGCTGGAGCCTTGGAAGCCTCGTGATGTTTCGGCTGCCCCCACCCTGTCTTCCTGTCTGGACATCTGTGGTTCAAATTCCTGGGTGGGATGGCCAGAGTGTGGCACGGTGCCATGTCCATCTGGTGTGGGTGAGGGCTGCCCGCCTAGTGCCCCTGTGAGGCAGAAGATTCCTTGCCTAAAAGAAAGGAAGGGGAGAGAAAAGCAAGTCACTGTGGAGTCATGCTTCAGACATGGTTCCCTGAGCACGTCACACCTGCCTGGCCCACAGGTCTGGGGAGTGGGAAGGACCAGATGCCCAGCGCGTAAGAGTCCACATGCGCTATTTTGTTCTGAGAGCCACAGAAAGACCCAGAATCACTTCTTCCTCCACACAGATGGAGGACAAATCTCACACGCTGCCCACGCGCCAGGCCCTCTCAGACTGACCACTCATGTAACGTATGGTGGGCGGTGCATGAGCATGCGCTAGCCACCCATTTCACAGAGGACGAAGCTGAGGTAAGAAAGTGGCCACGGTCTCATGGACACAAAGGAAGAGCTGGGATTCAAACTGCAGAATTTGGGAGGACCGGTGGGCAGGGCAGGAGGAGCCACAAAAGCCCGAGGATGGTGGACCAAAAAGGAGACTGAGTGCAGATGAGATGCAACGGGCGGCAAACACAAACTTCTAACACGAGCAATACTGCTGAGAGCACAGACAGACCATGCTAGTCCTGTGTGCCAGGCCCAGGTGACGTTACACGCAGGTGTCCTCAGCAGCCCTGCCATTGCAGCCACTCTGTGGAGGCTGAGATGCAACGCCACAGTCACAGCCAGCAGGGGACATGGCAGGACAGAGGGCCTTGGGCTCTGCCCGCCTCTCCCCTGACTCTAGCCACAGGGCAAGGCCAGGGCTCCAGAGAAGACTCTCCGCCCTGTTTTCCCTCAGACGCTCCTTGATGGGGCTCAATCGACAAGGCACAGGAGGCAGAACTTTTGTGCCCTTGTCTCCGGCCTGCAGCCACCATTCAGGTGACCCTGAGCAGGTCACAGTGTGATTCGGTGCCTCCTGCACTCTGTCATGGGAAGTGGATAAGCAGGGTGTGCTCCCCAACCCTAGACACTAAGACCCGCAACAGGCCCGGCCCCGGTGCACAAGGCAAGTCACCTTTAGGGATGAACTTGAGCGAGCTGCTAAATATTCAGAACCGGGACTGTCCTGCCTTGGGGCCATCGTTCAGGAACTCATGGCCCAACCCGCTGCCACATTTGCCACAGGATACCTGGGAAAACCACAAAGCAGCGCATGAGTTTCAAGTCACAAAATGGCCACAGTCGGGGTCCTTACCGCCACCAGCAGACCGGGTTCTTCCACATGCCTGCTTTCCATACTCCATCCTGGAGCCTGTGTGGGAAGCTGTCCTATTTCCCACCTTTCACCAGGGTGCCAGGCTCTCCTGACAGTCTGGGGTGGCAGCTCCAGATGAGGCCAGAGGCCAAGAACAGAAGCCCCTCAGCTCCTGGAGTCAAGGGATGAGCAAAGGGAGGAGAGTGGGACTGCCTCTGACCCTCCCTGGCCTTCCCGCCCCTGCCACGGGACCTACCTTCAAGGCTTCAGGTCGATTGTGCTCTGGACATTTGGCCACGCTATCAGCATGGATGGTCTCAGTGAATGCCGGCCACGGAGACGAATGAGCATACTTTGAGTGGCTGGAAAACAGCTCATAGCCACACTTGGCACACACGTAGACACCTGCAGCAGGGAGAGGGGCAAAGGCAGAGATGTTGGTTCTAGCCTTTCAGGGGCGAGCTCCCAAATCCTTGGGACCCAGCAAAGACTTATTTCAAGGGTAGGCTACGCATCCTCCCCACACACCCACCACTCACAGGCCACAGCACTGAGCTCACATTTAATGGATGTGCCAGAGACCCGGAGAGTCATTTTTCACACTTATCTCCTCGACTCTTCTCAATAACCCTGTAACACGGCACTGCCCCCTCCCCAGGAACCACACAGAAGGGCCCTGATATGACCAGCACGGCCATCTGACCCTACTCTGTCTGGACATCTGCGGTTCTAATTCCTAGGTGGGATGGTCAGAGTATGGCTACGGTGCCATATTCATCTGGGGTGGGTCCCTTCTCAAGTGGCCCTCCCTGCCACCTAACAAAGTGCTGAGCTGGACACCCAGCCATTGGCCTGCTCTCCAGGCAGAAAGAGAATGGTCCCAGAGAACAGGCTCCAGGCCAAACAGGGGCCGGGGAACACAGAGGGCTGGGGAAGAGGGCAGGATTCAACCGAGCCCCAAAAGATCAATTTGGGGTGGAGGAGGCAGGAGAGGTTACAAAACCGACTTGCAGAACTGTTTGAAGGACTGAAAACAGGAACCTCCAAGGGTGCTGAATCACCCCTCACCCACCACCTGGGGATGGCCTTCCCTGGAGTCTGTGAACTACTCAGCCTCTACCAGGGACTAGAGAAGACAGTAAACAGGAACCAGGAGTGCAGTGGAACTGGGTTGCCTGGCTTGGCAGAGGTTCCGGGGTGGGGGGCTTTGCCAGAGTGGCCCTGTATCACCACCCTGCCCTAGAGGGCTGACACCCAACAGATCCCGCCCCCAGGGAGGCCAAAGCACTAGTCTTGTCTGTGGACATGTTTTACCCAAATTAGTCCACTGCCAGGCAAGCCCAGCCTAGAAGGGGACTCACCAGGGCCCGTCTCAACATGTCAGCACTAAGAGCTGGCCATGCCCCGAGCCACTCCATCCAGTCTACAGGGTCAAACTTCACAGCTAAACTTCACTGGCCGCTGGCAGGGGCCTGGAGGCACTCCTGGCTCCCCAACCCGGATGCCCTGGCAGGTGGGGAGGCACCTGGGCGGGCACACTCCGATCTGAACGGGACATTCTTTGCTTGCCGTCTGACTCCACCCCCGGACTGCGGAATAGGGGGAATGAAAAGAGTAACATCTGGGGGTGACCCGTGGAGGGCGGCCAGTGAAACGAACTGCCCCGGACGAGATCTTCCATCGCGCCTCTCTGCAGTCCTGACCTTCACCAGGATCGCCCCGCAGGCGTCACCACCCCGGTGTACCCTGGCCCCACAGATTGCCCCGAAACGGCCACCTTCACACTCGAGGTGTGTCGTCACACCCTCCGCGACGACCCCTCCCTTTAATGTCCCCTCTCTCCCTGGGTACCCCTGCTCTCCGCGCCTCCCAGACTCCCCCCTTCCCCCGCGATTCCCTTGGCCCACGTTCGCTTCTCTGGCGGCCACGCTCGCTCCCCATTCCTGAGGGCCCCATCATCACCCGAGGGCAGCGAGGAGCCCTCTAATGCACACCCCCCGCCCCGCTGCCATCCCAGCCGGAGGCCGCAGGACGAACCCGGCTCAAAGTGGTTCTGGAAAAGCTCGCCCCCGAAGAAGCTGCAGAATGACATGGCGCCCCAGGCCCGCTGCGCGCTCGCCGCCTCCGACGGACTCAAGGTCACCGACCCGCCGACCGGGGCCCACGCCCGCCTCCCACCTCCCGGGGACCAATCGCTCCTGGGGATGCGGGTTCCGGCTTCCGCCTCCTG